TTAACATAACAGATTTGTGAATATGTTCGTATATTAAACATCCGATTGCATTATGTTCGATAATTTCTTGACAAGCCGGGAAACTTAAGAAACTGTGCTACTGTACCTGTTTCCAAATAAATATAATAATTTAAGATAGTTCTTTAGTAAAGTACCGAAAATTTGGTGCTTCTTATCAGGGCCCATCCAAAATTACAAATCTGCATAATTTGGATAAAATATATTAAAACTACGTGTATATCTTAATGAAATAGCATGGAACATACGATAATAAATCAAGAGCTGCATTTTCATCGAACGAAAACAAAATGAGATTATATTTACTTTTCGAAATTAAATTTATATGCAAATTTTATTAATTAGAGTCTGACCGAAATTTTGCTTTTGGTTTCGGTTAGTTTCGATCAAAAATTAGGGTTTCGGCCGAAATTAAGAAAAAATTTCGGTAGATAAACCGAAACTGTACAAGTTGCAACACGCTGGTGAATGTTAAAAAAACAACTGTTCGATTTTAATTATTAACTTGTTGATTAAGCTTAGTACAATTTGAGTACAAATTTTGATGTGATCCTCTTAATAACTGTAATTTGATTTCTTTAAAAGTTGGATGCAATATTATATTATTATAATTAGATATTTTAATAAAATCTTATTTTTTAAAAAGTGCATAAATTTGTCATAATTTCTTAAAATCATACAGTCTCTGTAAAATTAATCAAAAAATGTCGATTTCGAGTCTGACCGAAAAAAAATGTGACTCCATTAATTTATCTTTCTCTTTTTTTTGTAGTAATACTAAAAAAACTTGTCTAAGTTTCGGTTTCGACCGGAAGTCAAAATATGTTTCGGTCGGACTCTAAAGTTTATGTAAATATCTTTCCAGAATAGCCGTTGACCTATTACTTTTTTGTGACCATTAAAATCATAATTTTTTAAACTCGTTTTTAATTATAATCTCGTTTTTGAGAAAAGTCTATGGTAAGATTTGTGTGCAGTTAATCAAAGAAGCGTCTACGAGCCTTGTCACTAAGTTATACCTGAAAAGGTTACATTTTCAACATTTTTCTTTCTCTTATTTCATCATTAACCTACTAGAATTTTGCACACGTCAATTTCGATACTTTAATTTCATTATACAAAAAAATTAGACATTTCTACGGTATAAACTCGATTTATTAAAAGAACCACCTTAATCAAATTAATTTGATTTATATATGTATTTAAACGCAATTATATAATTGGCATTAATAATTTAATCGCTTGGCAACGGTTCGATTAAGTAGAAATCAAAACGTTCTTTTTTTATTGAGCAAGAACGGAACAAAGAGTCGTTTCGATGTCAACATGAGAAAGATAATTATTATTAAGCAACAGCTCGCACGCCTTCATAAATGTTACGCAATTGTCACCATTACCACGACAACATTTCCCGACGCCTTTCACTCTTGTAAAGAAATTCTACCTCGTCTTGCGACTCGAGTCGCCCGCGACTTAAAAGCGCATGCCGCCGGCACGGTCGCAAAAAGATTCGCACGCGTTTAGCAGTGGATTAACGGTGAATTTTTGTGAGGATATACGAAGAGACAGACATTGAATCACCTTAGGAGACTCTTAAACGGTCCCCGAGGTCGTTAACGACGTGAAACAGCCTCGATGCACCGAAGAACTTGCACTACATTATTCACTTTCGGTCTCTCAGGATTGGATTTTTGCTGAATAAAAAGCGGCAATTAACGTCTATGCGATTCCCACGTGGTAGAAAAAAGAAGTAGAATATTTAAAAAGTTAAAAAACCAAGAATTATTATAAGAACGAGGATATACATTATTTAAAATTTTAAGTACCTCTAATCAAGAGAGATGGATGACACCAAAAAGGATAATATTACTAGATTAAAATTATTTCAAATTTTTATTGTTTAATTTATAGTATATTATTTTCATACTTATTAAAAAAAAAAAAGAGAGAAAAAGGAGTTTTACGGTAGTAGTAGAAGAAGAAGAAGAACGAGTAACGCATCTATATTGCGTAGATATATTTCCTCAAGGCTATTCGATGCACGTTAAATATCGTCGTCGTTGTCATTTTTATAAAAATTAATGTAATAAAATTATATTCACAAATTAACAGCACATACGGTTTCCGGGAATATGAAAAAAACAAAGCAAACAGGATAATCAACAGGCATACAAAAAATATACATGAAAAATAAAAAAAAGTGATTCTTGTCATAAAAGAAAAAACGATGGATAAGCGAAGAATTCCCAAAGATGATACGAGAATGTCAAATAAGACAGTAGAAGGGACATGAAAGACAACGAAAAGTAAGCAGAGGAGAGAGAGTTATGCTTACCTTCATGTTCGAGCGGAGTTATACTACTGATGTCGGTGGCAGTGCTGGTCAGTTATTTTATAGCCGGCTCCCATTTAACTGGACCCCGAATTCGTCGAAACGGCCTTACGAGGCCTCTCTTCTCCCTCCTTAAACCTCTTTACGCAGCTCCACGAGGAGGAAAAGACATGTGCGTCATAGGTGTACAAATCTTGCATATTCACCTCGCGTCTTCGTAAATCTCTACTCCACGTCGTGTAAATATCGCTAGACATACAGAGATTTCTCAACTTCACTGATTCTAAAACTTATCCTAGAACTTCCTGAACCTGCTTGACTTTAATCCCACCTGTATTTTTGTGTATTGTGAAAGTTTATATTGTGAAAGTTTTTTTTTCAACCCTAACCGAACACACAGGAAAAAGTGATTCCTCACTTGCTACGGTAATCCTGTTCTCGGGGAATTCCCCCTTCTCAATCCCCGGAATAGTTGCACTAAAAAAAAAAATCACAAAACGATGGATTAACACGTTTGTCGCAATTATTGAGAGAATTTCGCGCGCGATATTAGAGACAGAGAGAGAGAGAGAGAGAGAGAGAGAGAGAGAGAAACAGAACGTCAGCGTTTTTGCACGAACGCGCGCTCGTTAGCGGGATTCAGCGAAAATTGCAAAAATAATATTTGGCTGGCGTTAAGTTAACGGGCGGTGTGCTCGTACCTCGTTAACTCCGTCGCTAGCCACGAGCAAATTATTGCTTCCGTTTCGATAGCCCGCGCGAAAACAGCGGGAGCGCGACCCGCGCGAGAAAAATCACGAATCCCATGCGGATTAGCGCGAGCGTTGCGCAAGCTGCATAAGGATTGCGTGACAGACTGCACCGCACCGTGCCGGGGCGATGATGCGTTCTCTCGAAGGTGCATGTTGCCGACCAAAACAATCAGGCAACGGTAGAATGTAACGTGAGATTGCGGAATATTTCACCGAAAGTCTGCCCATGTAAGAGGCCCTGTTATATAACGAAATAACAAAAACGATTATATAATGACGATAGTAATAATAATTAAATTAAATATACT